TGCCTTCTTTCCCTGCAATTTCTCCCACTTGTAATGGAAATGTCTAGCTTGTGCCTGTTCTGCCACTGTACCTTTGGAAGCAGATAACTTGTATTTTAGATTTCACAGACGAAGAGGAATTTTTGGATTTTGGACTTGTAGCTGATTTAAGACTTTTGCTATGATATGATGGGATGAATATGTTTTCCATGTTGCAAGAATGTGATTTTTTTGGTGGAATGTCATAGACTGAATTATATCCCCCTCAAAAATGTGTGGGTCATGATTCCCAGTACTGTGTGATTGTGTACCATTTTGTAATCTGATGCGACTTCCTTATGTGTTGTAAACTCTATCACTATGATGAGGTTATACTGATAAGGTCTACAGGATTGGATAGTGTCTTAAGCCAATCGCTTCTGAGATATAAAAGGGAGAAGTGAGCAGAGACACAGGGGAACCTCATATCACCAAGGAGCACAGGGAGCAGAGCGTGTCCTTTGGACCTGAGGTTCCTGTGTTGAGACACTCTCAGACCAAGGGAAGACTGATGCATTACAAGGACCTTCCTCCAAACCCGACAGAGAGAGAAAGCCCTCCCCTGGTGCTGATGCCCTGAATTTGGACTTGTAGCCTACTGGACCGTGAGAGAATAAATTTCTCTTTGTTAAAGCCATCCACTTGTGGTATTTCTGTTAAAGCAGCACTAGATGACTAAAACATGGGGACAGACACAAAGTCAAATAATTTACTGTGTAGTTATTCTATACCAGACTATTATATGCACCTAATGCACATACTCTTTTATTTAATCCATTCAACTGACTTTCTTCACCTCCACCCCCGCCCTTCTATACTGATTCCCTATCAGGAGGCAAAAGAGGCTGAGACAAAGCAACCAATGTAGAAAGGAGATATAAATGGACAAAAAATGGAAACTAAATCTCAGAAAATTTAGTCATCTACCTGAAGTATTTAAGGAATTCATATTTTAATATCTCTAGCAGAGAGCAGCAAAATGGTAGACACAAAGTAACTGCACAATAAATTCTTGATTTGACTGAGCCAATCAGAATGCTTTATCTCCCATTTCTAGAAAAATGAGACATGTAACAGCTGATTTCAAGTAATATGTACCTATAGTCCGAGTACAAAATCTACTAATAAAGATTATCACACAAAAATTTTAATTAACGTTTTTTCTTCCTTAAAACAAGTTCTTTATGGAATTTTGTTGTTGTTATATACCACCCACAAACTGCATATGCATGGACCCTTATCATTTCCCCCCAAATATTACCCTCCAATGATTTTTTTTTTTTCCTATGGCAAATCTTGTCCAGTTCTCTTTCAAAGCCACTAAACATTCATCTCCTCTACAAGCTTCTCCAGACTAATACAACCTGGGTCAGTAATTTCTACCATCTGTTCTCTTTTCTACCTGCCCAAATACTAAAAACTCAAGACCTTTCCTTTGGATATTTGTAAATTAATCAGGTATTCTTTATAGGGCATAATAATTAATTGACCATGGTTGAAATTACACGATTATCAAGGCTAATCATCTGTTACTTTAAGTTGTCTTTCTTGATCATCATAGTGTACAGTTCACCCTCCTCAGCAGGAAAATTCATTTCTGCACTCTGCCTTGTATCTTTAGTTAACTTTGAACCTGTCGGGTCTCATTACCTATACTGTAGTGTTTCTTGAGGACAGGGAGTGGGTATCACAATCTTTTTATGTACACAGTGTGTGGTCCAAGACCTTCATATAAATAAGTTGTTTAACAAATAGGTTTTTGACTGTCTTAGTGAGAGATAGCCAGTTTGGTTGAACTTTGATCCCTTGTGTGAAAAAGCAAAATACGGATAACTTATTTTTATTTATTATTTTTTACCAAGTCCTCCTAGTTAAGGTTGTTGTCAGTTATTGTCGAGTCAATTCAGACTTATGGTGACCCCATGTGTGCAGAGTAGAACTGCTCCACAGGGTTTTCAAGGCTGTGATCTTTCAGAAGCAGACCGTCAGGCCTGTCTTCCAAGAAGCCTCTGGGTGGGTTCGAACTGTTAACCTTTCAGTTAGTAGGTTAGCACTTAAGTGTCTGTATAGAATGTCTTAAAACAATCAAACTTGGAAAAGACCTTAAGTCATCAATTATTTCATTTATTTGGCTTAAATAATTATTCATGCTTTTATGTAGCTCTGTATTCTCCCAACAGACTGTAAATTCCTTAAAGATACAGAGTCCCGACTTTCTAATCCATCCTTATCAGCAATATCTACTAACATGCTTTACACAAAGGAACATGCTTAATAAATCTTGATCATAAACACAGAGAGGGAAAACTAACCTGATTCATTTATTACAGAAACTGTAAATGGAGATAAATGAACAACAGGGTAAACAGTGGTACCATATATGGAAATAGCGAAAGGGGAAGAAACGGGTTGGAGTGATGGGGATTAAGAGATAAATCTGGGATATGCTAAGCTTAAGGTAACTATTTGGCACCTAAAGGGAGGTGATGAGTAGGCAGTTATTATGTAAGTCTCAAGCTTAGGGGACAGGTCAGGGCTGGAGATATAAATTTGGGAATCATCAGCATTTAGATGGTTTTCAAAACCATGACTGCTGTATGATATCACCAAAAGAGTAGAAATGGAGGTAAAGGCTTAGTATGCAGTCTTGGAGCACTCAAGCATTTAGGGTTGGGAAGAGGAGGACTGAGCAAAAAAGAGGTTCCCTAGTGTGTCCTAGAAAACTAAGTGAAGAAGGTATTTCAAGAAGGATGGAATACTGAATTACATCAAAATGTTGTTGTTGTGTGCCGAGTCGATTCTAACTCATAGCGACCCTATAGGCCAGAGGAGAACTGGGCCATAGGGGTTCCAAGGAGCTGATGGATTTGAACTGCCGACCTTTTGGTTAGCAGCCTGAGCTCCTAACCACTTTGCCACCAGGACTGGGGCATAAAAATAAATGAAGATTTGAGAACTGGCTATTAGATTTGGCAATATTGGGTTGGTGACTTTGATCACTACTTTTGCAGTAGGGTGGAAAGCATGAAAGCCTAATTACAGAGGATTCAGGAGAGAATCGAAGAAAAAGAACAGAGGGGGAGTACAGAAAACTCTTCTGAGGAACACTACATAAAGAGGAGCAGAGAAATAGGCTGCTTGAGAAGTGGGGTTAAAGGACGGTTTTTTGTTTTTAAGATGGAAGATGTGTTTGGGTACTGACAGAAATGATCTAGTACAGTTTTAAAAATGATTAATAGAAGAAGAGAGAGGAAATAAATGCAGGAGCCAAGCTGTTGAGAAGGTGAGAACGAATGGGATCCAGGCCATGAGTGAAGAGACTGACCACAGACAGAAGCAGGGACAATTCATCCATTGTGACAGAAAGGGAAACAAAGGATTTGGCAGTACAGACGCAGAAAGATGGTAGATGGCAGAGGCAGAAGATGAAGTTTTCTCTTACTTTCTCAGTGGAACAGGAAACAAGGTCAACAAATGAGAGTGAGAATAGAGTGTTAGAGGTCTGAAGAGAAAGGAGTTGTGAAGTAGTTATCTTAGAGGTGCTGGGGGTCCACTTGGGGTTGGTGGTCTTAAATGTAAAGCAGAATAGTCAATATGGTTGTGTTATTTTCTCTCATAATGTTCAAGTGCTTCAGTGGAGGCCCAGAGTAGCTGGAAGGTTGGATTTAACTAGTTTGTTGAATTTTCCAGGTGAAAATGACTGAGAGAGAGAGAGAGAGAGAGAGAGAGAGAGAGAGAGAAGTATCTGTTAAAGATGTATGCAAAGGAGTGATTATAGTTATGAATCACAGATGGGATCCAGATTGGGTTAAGGAGGGAAGTAAGAACATGAGGTGAGTGAAGGACAACGGGGTAGAGGTGATGACAGACTGACAATCCACATGGGGGTGAAAGAGTACTGGATTGAGGGTACTAACTAAGAGAAGGGGGGCAGAGAGCAGGAGCTGGAAACTGGGATTTTAGAGAAGGTCAATTTCAGTTATTTTAATATCAAATTCTTAGACTTGGAGTTTAAGGTATGATCTGAAAGTTTATAAAGTCAAAGTCATCCTTGATTCTTTTCTTTCTCAACTCCTATCCCAATCTATCAGCGAGTCTGTGAGATCTACTTTCAAAAAAGCATCCCAAACCATGAACTCCAACCACTACCATCATACTCCAAGCCTTCATAATCAGCTTTTGGACTACTGCAGTAACTTCTAACTGGTCTCCTCGCACCCACTCACACTCTTCTACCATCTATCTTATATACAGCAGCCAAGGCATCTTTTAATATAAATGAGATCCTATCATTCCCCTTCTGAAAACACTCCCATGCCTTCCCATCTCACTTAGAAGAGAATCAAAAGTCCTATACAACATCATTATATGACCCTTGCTTACCTCTCTTAACTTCATCTACCACTCTCTTGCTTGCACATTGTTGTCTAGCTACATTGGTCTTCTTGCTTTTCATTACGGATACCAAAGCAACCTCTCATCTCAGGGACTTTGAACTTTTTCTTTCTGGTACATTCCTCTTCCAAATATTCTCAGGGCTCCTTTTCTCATTTATTCAATTTTCTGCTCAAATGCCATCTCTTCAGAGAGGCCCCTCCATTACCCTACTAAGTCTCCTTTTTCCCTGTTCTATCTTTCTTTAGAACACTTATCACTTCTTACCATTATATATTTTTTATTTACATATGTGATATTTATTTGTTTAGTCTTTGGCCACGGTATTTTGATGTTTAGAACAATACTAAGACACAGCATATTATAGATGTTCAATAAACCTTTGCTGAATAAATGAATGAATAACTCAAAAATACCAAAGATTACTTATTTCTTAATTAGGAAAATTTCAAAGATTTACAACAAACGTTTCTGAGCTTCTTATTTTCTGAAAGAAAACAATTACGAGAATTCAACTTATTGTTTCTTAAAAAAAAGATACATCTAAGAAGATTAACTTTAAGATGTAATATGCATTAAGTAGTTACCTGATCTTTGAGAAATTTTCTGATGTTTCGATGAGCTCGGGAACATTCAGTTAATAAGCTGAGAACTGGAGTTAGACCCTCTCTATAGCTGCTTCCCTATAAAGAAAATCATACACGCTTATTAGTTGAGTATCTAACAGTAGTATTATTTTCCTCCATGTAAATGAGTGTATTAGTGCTCTTCTTTTTTGCGGGGAGGGTGGTAAAATATCTTCTTTACCAAAGCTTTACAAAGTATTTTAAAAATTATTTTCCCTACTGTATTTCCATTTCATTAGTAATCTTCATATTTACTAATGCTCATTTTTGTCTTTCACGTATTTTCTTACATTTTCTAGGGTCCCCACTGGCTCAGTCAATGGCCTTTAAATGAGGCAAAGATTTTAGTGATCCATCCATACTACCCTGCTGCCTTTTAATATAGCTACCTGACCAAGCGAGTGACAGACCAGAGAAAATAAGCAGCTCACAACAAACAGAAAGTTGATGTCTTTTAGGTATTATGGAAAGTACTTATCATCAAGTTTTTGGGGGGATAATTTTCATTTCTAGGATTTCCAAAGTATATACATGAAACAGTAATTAATTTTTCCTTTGTTTTCAGGAATTAGTCATAATTTTGGTGTTGCATCAACACAATTTTCATGATTAAACAAATAAATTCACTTGGTTACAGCATTTTATCACATACTATAATAAAATGCTTTCCAACACACAAACAGTTGTGCAAGATGCCAGCTATGAAAAGCTTAGATTTAAAAATCATGTCCTGTGGTGTGTATTTGTATGGGTGGCACATTTACATTCTTTAGACACATCTTCCCAAGCCCTCCATTTTATCAGTCTTACCTTGTCTATTCTCTTTTCCATAAAATTGAGTAAAACATGAATGGCCTCCATATTCATACCATTGTATGCCATGGTATTGTTTTCCAAAACTGTTTCTTTCTCAGCTGTTTTATCACTGGGCAGTTCATCTACAGTTGTTGCCTCTTGGGCTGTTTCTTCATGGGTTAATGGACAAATAAGAACATCCAAACAAGAGACCGGAACATTGCTTAAAAGGTTGACTGCATTGCTGAAAAGCAATTTAAAAATAAGTATTTTAGTTTGATTGAATAGTCCTTTAAAACGCAAACATAATAAGAAGTTCAGGAGTGACTGTTAGGAGTCAATTAAAATTTTTCTTTTTCAAAATGAGTCATTAATATTACTTGGCATTTGCTGCGTAACAGGTTGAAAATAAAGAAAGAACTGTTTTAAATACACATATGACAAATTAGAAAGAACAGATGTTAAATGGACAGACACAATCACATGATGTCATTTCACTTTCTCGAATGCTAAAATAGGAATTAGTAAGCTTTAATGCCAGCTCTTTAATTTTATTATGACAACAACACTAGCTTTTCATTTTCTCCCCTGGAGTTTTAAGTCCTTTTGTGGATCCACTGGTGTTGTATTATTCCTTAGATTACAACATGAAGCATTTGAGAAGTACAGTATATAAGCAGCTTATATCACAGAGATAACAAAATTAAAAACCAAACATTGTAGGATTAAGTTTTGTTCCTTTTAGCTGTAAAAAACACAATTTTTAAACCATCTCATTTTTTTTGTTGGACATTTGCAGAAAAAGTAATGGTGCTTTTTCTTACTCTCTCATCACCAGATCTGTTTTAAAAAAAGCCAACGTAGCTATTTCTAATCTCTATCCCCTAGGCCTTTCGGCTATGTATTAATGAATACATGAGCCTGGGATGCACACCAGTAGGGGGAACCCAAACATTGTATTTTTGGCATTCCCTAAAAAGCCTGTTCTGTTGCTTAGATTAAACTAATGCTAACAATTTAAAAATTGGACATGTTCTCAATTAACATATTTTCCTCCCTGCATTATTGCACATTCTTTCATCTAAGAGAAGAGATGATGTTCTCGGCTAACTAAATCTTATAAGCCTGTGCCTCAGAACTTCCTGATAAACAACAATGGAAAGAAAGGCATTACATTTCCTAGTGACAGAAAAGCAGATCTAAAAATAACCACATCCTGACTAAAAATAAACTCTTGCAAATGCAATTTAAAAGCCTAGCCACTTGGAAACCAAATTCAGAGCTTAATCTATCTGATGCTGTCTTTAGATCATAGTAGTTCCTTTTAATTTAAATTATAACAGAACAAAACAAAACAAACAAAAACAGAAATAAAATACAAAGTTTTTTCTTTCCTTTTTCCCAGAAGTGTGGCTTCATTTCCCCAAGAATATTTTCTTTCTTTTTATATTATGGAAAAATAAAAGTTCATTAAGAAATGAAAAATTAAAAATTAGACAATGCAGAACAATGTGTTAATGTACAGGGTATCAAAAAATTCTGAAACAAGAGCAAAAATTATTTAAAAGTCCTATGAATTAATGATTCCAGGTAAAATACAAATTATTTAGTTGCCTTCACTAAAAAATTACTACAACTCCTATCACCACCATCACACAAAGTCCCTTATTTTGGTTATTTGCAAATAATCAAAGTTGGGTGAGATACAATGCTTTCCCCACAAACTTCAAAAAAAAAAATTTATTTTTTCGAAAATCTACAGTTCCTTACCTATAGTTAAAAATATTTTAGTTCTGTCTGAAGCATTTGGAAATTGTCATTAAATATCAGATTCACTGGGAATAAAAGGAAAAAAATAAACTACCTTAGAATTACTTTCCAAAACTATCCAAGCTATTCTGAATTTTTAGGATTTTTTTTTTGGAAATCAAGGCAAAAGGCTCTAGAGTCCATTGATAGTATGATTCTCTGAATCTAGCATAGAGATCACGCTGAATAGTTTTAAGATGGTCCATTTTATTACAAAGGAATGTTCCCCCTTTAAATTTGTTTAAAGTAAGCAGTTTCCAATAATTCAGTAAATTTAAGAAACCAAATGTTGAGTTTGATTCAACAAATATTTGGAGGTTTTAGGCTTTTCAAGAGAAGTTCCCATTTTCTCAGCTCTTATTAAACAACTGGGTTTCCAAACAACTACAAAATTAATTTTCTGGCTCACTGTGTTTGAGCTATTCTTTTTAAGTAAGGAAGGCCAGCTTTTTGAGCTCTGTCACTTCCCTGACAGTTTTATTTGTGATAGAAGAGTGTATGAAATTCTCCAGCTACCAGGAAGTCAGTGACTATGCAAAGTTCTGCACAATGGTGTTTGCATTCCTACTCCAGGGGGTAGAAATACTGTGTATATTACTCTTCCCTTTTCAGCTTCCTAGAGATCATTAATCACTGCGACATGACATCCTCCCACTTCAGCTCTGCTCCCAGACCCCTCCTGATATGCAGATTTAAAAGCAAGGCCTATTTACAGCTCCTTAATGCCGTGATTAAAGCTTGTTAGTTGTGGGAGAGGGAAGGCAATCTAATATCCACTCCTGTATCAATCGCTGGGTTAAACATAATTTAATACAACATTTTTGACATACAGAAGAATGACATTGAGGAGCATGATAACGGCACATCTAGACTTTCAGCTGTTAACAATCTTCCTGGTCAAATGTATCCTCTTTATATTTGGAGCTCACATCTTTTCTCAAGACTAGAAAGTCCATTTAAATGAATTTTAACATCTCCAAAGATTTTCAGATGTAAAAACTCAAGTTTAATTTAATTCAATTCAGCAAAGGTTTATTAAAGAGCTTACTATGCGCCAGCCATTGTTTTAGGCAGGCTTTGTGAAGAAGATAAGAGAAAAATCCCTGCCCTCATGAAGCGTATGTTCTAGCATGGGGAGAGTCAATAAAAAGTAAACAAGATAAATAAGCTAATTAAACGGCATGCTCTAGGGAAAAAACCTGGAGTGTAAGATAGACAGGACGTGAGGGTGATCGTTTTAAATAGGATGGTTAGGACAGGCCTCACTGAGATGGTGTTATTTAAGCAAAGACTTAAAGGAGGTTAAAGAATGGGCCCTATGAGTATCTGGAGAGAAAAGCACTCCAGGAAGAAGTAAGAGCCAGAGGAAAGGCCCTAAGACAAGAAGTAGTGGCATGTTTGAAGAACAGCAAGGAAGTTGGTATGGCTGAATTATCATACATAAGGAGGAGAGGAGTAGAATATGAGATAAGACAGATAATGTGGAGCCAAACTGGTCTTGTAGGCTATTATAACTTTAGTTTTTATTCTGAGTGAAATGTTGAGTCATTGCAGGATTTTTTTTTTTTTAAACTTATGTTAAAAGAATCACTCTGGCTACTGCACTGACAATAGCTGGTAAGACATCAAGGGTGAGAAAGACCACTTAGGATGTTACTATAATGATTCACGTGGGTGAAGAGGGTGATAACAGCAAAGTGGATAGATCTGGATGTATTTTGAAGGTAGAGCCAACAGGATTTCCTGACAGGCTATTTATGGGGTGTGGGAGAAAGAGAGGAATTAAGTATGAATCCAAGGTTCGATCCTCAACAAGTAGAAAGCTGGAGTTACCATAAACTGAGATGCAAACCATTGCAGGGGAAGCAGTTTTTTAGGGAAGATTAAAGTTCAGTTTGGGGTATGTTAGGTCTGTAATGCCTATTATTAGACCTCCAAGTGGAGACGTTAATAGGAAGTTAGCTATATGAGTCTGGAGTTAACGAAAGGAGAGCTGGGTGAGAAAATAAACTGAGGAGTTGGGTATACAGATGGAACCTGAAGCTATAAGACTGGATTAGATCAGTAAGGGAGTGAGTGTGGACTGAAATACTCTCAAGGATGAGGAGGTTCATTCAGATGTTGAGGAGTAGAGGAAGAACTAACAATGAATGAAGTAGGAGGAAAACCAAGATAGCATCTTAGAAGAAAGTAAGACAGGGGTGATCAATAGTGTCAAATGATGCTGACAGATCAAGTAAGATGAGGACTTAGAAATGTCCACTGAATTTAGTAATGCAGAAGGTACTAGTGACCTAAACAATAGCAACTGTGGTGCAGTGGTGGAGCTAAAGCTTGAATGAACTGCATTCAAGAGAGAAACAGAAAAGGAATCATAAGACTTTACAGGAGTTTTGCTGCAAAGAGCAAGAGGAGACTGGAGCAGCAGCAGATGGGGAAGTGTTAAGGAAAGGTAACACAATATAATTTGTAGAGTACTGCGCTTGAATTCTAGGTTGTCTCTTACTAAAAAAGTGTGTGTTAGGCAAATTATATGACCTCTTCTAGGTCTTGGTGTCCTTATCTCTAAAACAGAGAGAAATAAACTTACCCTACCAGGTTGACTTGAGGATTAAATGAAAAAAAAAAAAAAAAAGCATGTAAAGCACTCTGTCTGGTACATAGTACACAGCAAAAATTAAGGCACTTTTGAACATTGGACATATTACACTATAGAAGGGAATAGCAAGTATCTGGAAGAATGAAGGAATATGGCAGCTGTGGGGAACTAAAAACAGGTCCTTAGGACTAAAGTAGAGGATAAAGCCTCTAAAGGAGGAATCTCAGTAGGCAATAAGACCAGAAAGGTCTATGTATGTGTGTGGAGTAGGGAGGGGGAATTATAAAGAGTCTTGGTAGGGTATTTTATTTTTTACCTAAAAAAAGGGGGTGGGATTATTGAAGGGTTTTAAGCAGGACCAAATAAGGTTAGAGAAAAATTATTTTGTGGGCAGTACAGAGGATGAACTGGAAAAGAAAACCAAAAACTCAACGCTTATCGGCACAAGTAGGTAACAACTATGAGGAAGGCTGGACAAAACAGATAATGGGAAGTAATGGATACTATAGCAAATAGGAAAGTGCAGGCCTCGTCTAAAAGGAACAGCCATTACTCAGCCTAATTTAGTACTACAGGTAAGAATGCAGGCAGGTTGGCTTCATAAGCCTGTGCCCTGTGCAGCTGCACTGGGCCCCACACTTGGAAAGACTTCGCACTTGGTTTAATGCTCTGCTGTTGCTGTCTTGAGATTCTTAGTAATTTTTGAGAAAGGGGTCTTACATTTTCATTTTTCACTGGGACTCACAGATACGTAGTTGGCCCTGGATGTGGTCAGTACTACCTGATATTCCAAGTCTTCGAAAGCTATAATATGCATTTTGTGTACGATATTATGA